TGTTTACGCCCATGTCACCAAAGTTGGCCTGTTTGAACATATGTTCTAGGAGGGTTGTGAATAACTTTGGTGATATGACATCCCCTTGGCGTACAACTCGTGCAATATTAAAGTCTTGGGAATCATCCTGCAGCCTAACACAAGCTTTTTCTCTTTGGTACACGTGTTTGATGACCTCGATGTATCTATGATCGATACGGTATTCAGCAAGAGCTTGTAGCATTTTATGCTGGTTTATTGTGTCGAAAGCCTTTTCGTAGTCGACGAAGATCATGCAGAGGGGTTCATTATATTCGATACATTTTTCGACAAGGGACTTAACTACTTGTAGATGGTCGTTTGTGCCAAATCCGGATAGAAAGTCAGCTTGCTCGCGGGGTTGATATAGGTCGAATTTATTTGCTAACCTCTTGTTAATTATTCTCATGAACAGCTTATATACATGCGACAGCAAACTAATGGCTCTGTAATTTTGCAGGTTGGTGATATCTCCTTTCTTGTGCAGTATTATAATTATTGCCCGATCCCGTTGGGAAGGTGTTGTCCCAGTTTGTATGCAAGCATCAAATAACTTGCATGATGCATTAAACAACGTAGTTCGGCCGGCTTTTAGGGGCTCTACTGCTACGCCGTCGTCGCCAATTGCTTTATTGTTTTTCATATCTCTTAGTGGCCCCCTTATTTCGTCTAAGGTAATATTTGGAATATTCCTCGGATCCTTGATTGTGCACTCTATTTATGTTGGTGTCCAAGCTGACTGCATTTTTATCGCTATATAATGTCGCGTAGAAGTCTTCTACAACCTTTAATATTTCCACTTTATTTGTGGCTATTTGGCCACTCTCTTTTGCCAGCTTGCAGATGTTTTTCTTGCCTTCGGAGAATGGCTTCCGTAGTGATTTCAAGTCCTTATTTTGCTCGATTACCTTTAAGATTTCACTTGTGTTATATGTTCTTGTGTCCCTTCTCACTGCTTTGGATATTTCTCTATTTAGGCGTCTTAATTCTGTTGCCTTTGTTGTATGTTTATTTGTAAGATTTCTTCTCCTTTCCATTAGTTGTTTAGTGCTTGTACTGAGTTTTTCGTTTCGTTGGGTGCTTTGTGTCTGGCATTCTTTTACTGCGGTTTTAGAGAATTTGTAATAAGTGAATTCAGGTCTTCTATATTCGGATCTAAAACATTTTTCATAGGTGCTAGCTGTGATTCCATTCTACGCTGATACTGGATTTCGTCTCTAAGCGGTCTCCATTTGCTGGATGTTGGCTGTTTAATAAGCTTTCGCCGCTCGTTCTTGATATTAATTGAGATTTTGGATCGGACCAGCCTGTGGTCGCTGCCCATTGAGAACTTATTCAGCACAGTTACATCTCGCACTATTTCCTTTCTGTTAGATATGATAAAGTCGATTTCATTTTTTGTAGAACAGTCGGGGCTGACCCAGGTCCATTTTCGCAGCGGTGCTTTGCGATAGAAGCTGTTCATTACAAATAGGTTATGTTGTAGAAGAAATTCAAGAAGCGTTTGACCTCTCTCATTCCTTACTCCAAATCCGTGGGTTCCCAACGGTGTTTCGGTTTCGTCTTCCTTATGCCCCAATTTGGCGTTGAAGTCCCCTATTAGCATGCTGTAGTGGGTA